TAAAAATAATAAAAATGTTAGAAAATGTGAAACATTAACCTAACATATAGTTAAAGTGATGGTTGAAGTTATGCGTAATGCATGAGATCTTCATCTACGGACAATTTATGTAATGCTTGTTGATGAAAAAGATTGTACAAACACTGTTATAGATTGCTCTAAAAAAATTTTTATGCGCGACTAAAATTTTTTTTTTCGTTTCTACTATATTTTAATCTTTAGAACCAATTGAAGCAACAACAAAAATGATATTATTGGTGCTAGTTTGAGGGTCATTTGGAATAGTAATGGTTAACGATTTTACGCAATCTGATTCAAAATATAATTTTTGTAATTATAAATTCTAAAATTTTATGAAAGAATTATTGTCTTATTACATTAAAAATGTTAGTTTGCAACAATTTAAAAACCTAGGTCAGTTTCCAAATTACATAATTTTTTTGGATTATTAAACCAAACCTCCCATAGTATATATTTATTTTGGATACTCAAATCCTAATTATCAAATACATTAAAATATTTATAAAATTGCCTAAAACAATTTTTCAAAAAAATTGTAATATTAATTCTTGCATAAAACAAGTTTATGATTAGAACACTACAAAATACATATGTTCATTATTCTTCAGACTTAATATGATTATAACATTTGAAAATCACCTAACTAACGCGAAAAATAGTAAATACATAAACAAAGTAATATACTTATTATGATTAATTTAATCCCAATTGTCAAACACATTATAATATTTATAAACTTGCCTAAAACAATTTTTCAAAAATTTTAATATTATATTTTGCCTAAAACAAGTTTATGATTAGATAATGAGAAATTTTAAAAATATCACTTTTCAAGTGCCACTTTACAAAAATGCCACACTTTTGAAATCCTTACAAAAATACCACTTTTTCAAAATTATTTTTTCTTTATTTATGTTTAGGTTAATTATGTTCTATTATAATTTAGTTATGAGGGTTTAAGGGGGTTTAGGGGTCAAAATTTTTTTTTAGTGTTTAGAATTTTAAGATATAGGATTTAAAAATCTATAATTAGTGGTATTTTTACAAATGTGCACATAAAAAATGACATTTTTGCGATTTTCCCATAGATAATTACAAAATACATATATTCATTATTCTTCAGACTTAATATGATTATAAAATTTCAAAATCACCTAATTAATTCACAAAATATTAAATACATAAACAAAGTAATAATACTTAAATGTTTACTAATTTACTGTAAGTTTGGTTACTTTGATTCAACTTCATATCATTCGAGTTCGGTTCAAATATTTTAATTAGTATAGAAATTTTATACCTATATGGATTATTTAATAATGCAGTTCGAGTTCTAAATTGTGAGCTTTAATTTGGTTTATGTATTCAGTTTATCATCAGGTGAAACATATTTCTATATAAGATAACCGTAAATTC